GAGAATACTAAAAGTGCCATGGGCTGCCAAAAGAACCAATAGATCTGTTTTGGAAGAAGTGCAGCCAGAGTGCTCCTTGGAGGCCAAGATGGCTAAACTTTGTGTCTCATACTTTGGACATATTGTCAGGAGGGAACAGTTGCTAGAGAAGGATATCATGCTTGGTAAGATGGAGGGTCAGAGAAAAAGAAGAAGACCCCCAGTGAGATGGATTGGCCAGGTGACAGCATTGATGGAGTCAAGTGTGGCAACAGCAGTGAGGTTGTCCCAGGATCGGACATTGTTTCATTCTGCTGTGCATAGGGTCGCTATGAGTTGGTGCCGACTCGATGGCACCTAACAACAACAACAACATCATTAACTGAGTACCTTCTTATTTTCTGGCACAACAACATGTTCCAGATCCTTCTCGTAATTCCCTTGCCTCCCTTAGAATCTCATATTTTTCATGGAATTTCAATTCCATTTTATTGGGGGGTGAGGTGGGGATGGGGGTAAATTATTTAGAAACCCAGATCTGTAGGCTGCAAGTGCTGCTCTCGAGGTCCATTCCTTGTAGCCCTTCAATGGGTGTAGCTGGACTACACACACATGTGACACTGTAAATTAAGAACTGGAGGCTAACCACAAGGCTGGCAGTTCAAACCTACCAGTAGATCCTTGGAAATCCTATATAGGGTTGCTATGAGTCAGAACCAATTTGATGACACTTGAAAACAACAACACATACACACGCCTTAAATATGTATGACAGTGTTATGTGTGTGAATAGATTTATATACACATACACATCTGTATGCGTATTTCTATATCTACTGATAAAACAAGCATACACTGGCACCTCGTTCCTAATTAGATACCACGGGCTTCTTTCTAATCCAATGACATGGAGTCCAGCCCAACTCACTGCTGCCGTATCATTAGAGAAGCAGACAGCCTCATCTTTCTCCCACGGAGTAACTGGTAGATTTGAACCACCCACCTTGCAGTTAGCAGCCCAATGCTTAATCCAATGCCACAAGGACTCCTAGTCTTCTTTCTAACTTCTACTTAAGCCATATCTTTATGTCCTTCACCAATAGTGAAAGATTCATAATTTTACAACGCTACATTATTTAATAGACTGATGATTAACAAATATCCTTTGCAGAATGTTCGATCCTATTTGAAATTATAGAAGGAGGGTATCTGATAAAATATTACCAGTCTTAACATCAAGTTGAAACTTTGGAGCATGTTGTGAAGGGCTTCTTTAGGGGCACATTGTAACTGTGCTCAGCATTTAAAGTGTGGACTGAATAAAATTAATGCGATTTATGAGATTTTACATCCTCAAAATAAGACGTTTGTACTATTAACTATACAATATCTTCTAGAAACTTAGCGATGCTTGTCTTAAAATCCATATTCAATGTTAAGATATCTAGTTTGATTTCGTGCCAGTAGAGAATCAGGTAGGGAACTAAAGCACAGTAGTGACATATTTGTGCCTCTCACTACTAGATGAGAACAGATCAGTGACGGCTGTGAGAACACGCTCATCCTTCAAACACTCTAGATGGACTTACTTGTAGCAGACAGTTGCTGACATCTTTCTACCTCATAGAGTGACACTGACCCAGAGCCTATAGGGAAAAGATAAGGAAGAAGTATTATACACATAGTTCAAGTCTATCAGAAATAAAAGGTGGAAATGAAAACTATAAAACATTCTGATAAATGGTAAAACATGCCATGTTCATAGATTTGAAGGCTCAACATTGTGAAGATATTAATTCTCCCCACATTGGCCAGCAGATTCAATGCAATCCCACTGAAAATCCCACAGGCTGTGTTATAATAATTGATAAACAGATTCTATCCTGTAATGTAAGGGAAAGAATCTAGAATATAAAATATGATCTTTAAAAAGAAGAATAAATTTGGAGGACCTGTACAAAATGACTCCAAGACCTTGGTGTTATTGCTATTGCTAAGTGTTGTCGAGTCAGTTCTGATTCACAGTGACTCAGTATAGGGTTTCCAAGGAGCACCTGGTAGGTTTGAACTGTCAACCTTGCAGTTAGCAGTTCAGTGCTTATCCTACAGTGCCACACCAGGACTCCAAAGTCACACTATAAAGTCATCAGGACAAGTATTGGCATAAGGACTGACAAACAGAATGAAATAGAAAGCCCTGGAGTAGACCCACATTTATATGGTCATTAGACTCTAATAATGACCAAAGACTTCTAATAGAATAAGGAAGCATTTTTAACAAACTGTACTACAGTACCTGGAAATTCATATTCTAGAAAAAAGAAAAGTCTACCTCTAATACCGCAAGGTCGGTTTGAACCACAAGCTCTCTGAAAACCTTATACAGGTTCACTATGAGACAGAAATGACTTGAAGGCACTTAGCAACAACAACTAACCATAAATCAAAGGAACCACTGATACATGCAAAAATATGGATGAATTTCAAAACATACTCTATGTGGACAACTAATCGATTATGATGGAAAAATCAGAATACTGGCTGCTTCTGTGGGTGTGGGTGGGGATTAGCTGGGAAAGGCCTGAGGGAGCGTTTGTGTGGTGGGTAGTCTTCTATATCTTGGGAGGGGTTTGGATTGTGCAAGTTTTTGTATGAGGCAAAATTCACAGAATGGAACACTTAAGGTATCCATCTCATTGTATGTAATTTAACCTCAAAAAATAACAAAAGAATCCTAAAACAATATTGAACTCTGTTAATAATGTTCACACTGAAATGTTTATGGGACAATTAACTGACATCTAGAATTTCTTTTGAAATGTATTAAAACATAAGATGGACTGATGGGTAAAAAGAGGTTAGCAGTCCACTGCCCTTCCTACATGCTATATTGTTAATTACCATGGAGTCACTTCTGATTCGTAGCAACTCTGTATTGGGTTTCCAAAGAGCAGGTGGTGGGTTTGAACCACTGACCTTGTGGTTCTGAATCCACTGCTGATCCTGCAGAGCCACACTAGGAGTCCACAACGTTATACCAGGGCAGATCATTCAAATAAGAAAGATGAAAATGGACCAATAAATATAATCATATGATTTTCAAGTTTCAGGGAAATAAAATCTCACCTTAAGTTATCAAATTGTAAAAACTATTGCCTACAATGTCAACATCCAATACTGCTAAAAGTGAAAACAGGATATTTGCCTACAATGCTAATGGAATACAAATTTAACTTCTTGATCAAATAATCTGGCAGCATCTATTAAAAAGAGAAGAAGTGTCTACCCTTAGATTCATCAAACCTACTTTTAGGAGTGTATTTTAGAGAAATAAACCATGAAAGTATCTATGTTCAACAGTATTAAAGTATCACACATAAGAACAAAAACTGAAACACCCTAAATGCCTGTCAAATGGAGAATGGCTGTAAACAATGTTACACCTGTATTACAAAATTTTATTAATTTCATTAATGCTATTTACATCCATTATAAAAGAGTATAAAACTTTAAAAAAGGAGTTTTACTTCTATGAGCTAGCTAGAATGAGATCTATAATATATTTTGCTTTAAAGAAGCAACTGATATACTAGGATTCGGTTTCTATCCATTTTTCCAAAGGAAGATAAAGACCTTATCTGCTTATGTATAAGCATGACGGTGTTGAAAGAATCACGCTGCACTGCTAACACGCACGCTCAGGAGCACAGCTGTTAGGGTGAGGCAAAAACTACTGAACCTGATGTCATAGCGTGAATTACTTTCCTAATTTAAAAATAATAGAAGGATCTTTTATGAAAGCAGAAAAGAGATTGCAGAAGTTTAACTGCAGATTATGACTTCTCCAATTGAACTTAGTTGGGCCTCTAAAGGTAGTTCATGAAATGTTAGATCAGGCTAAAATGCTGTCACCTAGAAAATGTGGAGGGGTTTAAGACAGAACAAAGAAAGAAATTTAAAACATGTACAGAAAAACCAAGTTGCCTGCATTTGAATTTGACTGGCTTTGCTATCAATTAACAACATTTTATATATATACACACACACACACAGAGAGAGATAGAGAGACTGATTCATAAATACTGCATATCAAAAATCAAGTAATTACTATTATTCTAATATGAGTTAGAAACGATTTGAGAGCGCTTAACAACAACAAATATAAGTCCTGGTGTAGTGCTCTAGAATAAGCACTGGACTGCAGGGTCTTTTGAACCTCAAGGTTGGCAGTTCAAACTCATCAGCCACTCTTTGGAAATCCTATTTGTTGTTAAGTGCTGTTGAGACGGTTCTGACTCACAGCGACCCTGTATAGGGTTTTGGAGGAGCAGCTGGGGGGTTTAAACCGTCGAACTTGCTGTAAAAACTGACTTCACAGTCCAATGTCTTATCCTGCAGCGCCACACCAGGATGTGTAGAAATGCTATACAGGGTTGCTATGAATCAGAACCTATGGCACTTAACATAAGTATGAGTCATGGTGTAGCACTGTAGAATAAATACTGAACTCCCTAACTACAAGGTCATTGGTTCAAACCCATCAGGCAATCCTAGGAAACCCTACACAGGGTCGCTCTAAGTCAGAACCAACTCAATGACACTTAAAAACAACAATTTGAAAATGGAATTATATAACTGAGTTGTCATGATAACCTTTTCTTCCCCTCTATTCAAATATTAACTCAAAATAAAACAACCCCCCCCAAACAAAGAAAAAAACAGAATAAAAAGTAAAACATTAAAAATAAGGACATTATGCTGAATGAAATTAAATAATCACAAAAGAGCACCAAGTGTACAAAACCACTGTTGTAAAAAGGTTTTCACAGAAAAAGAAACCCTCTTTGATGAATACCAGGGGTGGGAGGGAAAAGGAGGGTAAATTACCGGCTAAAGAGTCACCAAGTATTACCCTGGTTAAAGGGAAAGGCACCAGGCCATAAAAGGGAGGTCAGCAAATAATGAGGGCAGCAGGGGAAGAAGAGTACAAAGCCTCAAGGTAACCACTGCTGCCCATACAAGCCTGCACTCACAGTCTCCTGAGTCGACACAGGGACAGACACAGGCTGCTGGCAAGGGGTGTCTGACAGCTGTGGGCTAATGCACCAGACTGCAAAGCCATTTGGACTGCAAGATCAGCGGTTCAAGCTCACCAGCCGCTCCTCGAAAACCCTATACAGGGTCACTATGGGTCAGAACCGACTCAACAGCATTTAACAACAACAACATTTAAAAAACAAGAGAACTGTGTTGAAGTTGATAAAGACATTCGATTTATCAGGGACTAAGTCCTGGTGTGGTCCTGTGGGTTAATGCACCAGACTGCAAAGCCATTTGAACTGCGAGGTTGGTGGTTCAAACTCACCAGCTCCTCCTTGGAAACCCTATACAGGGTTGTTATGGGTCAGAACCAACTCAACAGCAAGTAACAACAACTGTCAGTTTAAAAATTGTCCTTACTTGATAAGGTTGGTAAGCTATTTTCACACTGTGACACACAGACACCGCCAAGTAAACTCTGACTGGCTGTCAAATCGACAGATTCTAAAACCCTGTAATTGAAAGAATAGAAATGTAAATTATGCATAAAACACAGTAAGTCATTTTATCTCTACCCACAGAATCTAAGAGCTCACTAATACTCATTATACAACTTGGTTCCTATATGCTTTTTAGCTCAAAGTCTTTAACTTTAAACACTTTATCTGAGTGTTCCAAGGCTTCCCCCCCTCAAGTTACAAAACAACCCAAAAAACTGTCTGGCAAGATCCAAGAGTTGTTAGGTGCCATGGTGTTGGTGTGACGTGCACCACGTGACAAAGCAGAACTGCTCACAGGTTTGCTGGGCTAGAATCTTCAAGAAGCGCAGACTGTACATGAAGACAGGTTAACAACAGAACACTTAGTCATTAGCTCCGTACCAGGGAGTGGAATGATGAAATATTTTCAACATAAAGAAAGTGTGAGTTTAAACAGCCTCACTATAAACTCACAAGAAGTGGTATGGCGCTGTACAATCAACTCTGGACTCTTTAATATCTGCAAGGTTAGCAGTTCAAACCCGCCAGCCGCTCCTGGGAAATCCTATATAGGTTGAGATGAGATCTTTGGCTGTGAGAGGGAACCTTCTCAACAGCACTTAGCAACAGGATGTTGCAAAGTAAGATGTAAAACAGTGGAATTAACATATTAAACAAAAACATTTAAGTAGATTTTAAAGTCTTGTTGACTTTAATAAATTGAAGCAGGTAATAATTGTTTCATTTCAATTACAAAAAAAAATTGAAATCCACTGACATCAAGCTGAGTCCAGTTCACAGTGACCTCACAGGACAAGTAAGACTGCTCTGGACATTAGGACACTGGTAAATATTTCTGTGTGCAGACTGCCTCATCTCTCTCCTGTGGAGCAGCTGCTGAGACTGAAGTGCTGACCCTTTGGTTAGCATCCCAGTGCTCAATCCACGGCTACCAGGCTCCTTCATCTCCATGTTGTCAACAATACATTTCTGTATCTCTTTGAAGATATACAGAAGATTGATTTTGATTTCTCTGGGACACTGGTCAAATGTTCTACACACAGTATCCACTAGGAAGACTTCAGGAACAAGAGAACTGTATATAGAACAGGGTTTAAGATACCATCTGACTTTCTGGACACATCTGAAAATCTCAAGAAATGTGATGCCCTAAAACACTTGCTACTTATCTGTTTTACTGTAGGTACTTTTGTTTTGCTATAGGAAAGATTTGTGTGTGTGTGTGTGTGTGTGTGTGTGTGTGTATGTGTGCAAGGATGAAGTATTCTTGGAATCCTAAATGTGTATCAAATTTTCCAGACAACCTGTTGCTAGACTTGGAGAATATGGCAAAGGGTAGATAAAAGAAAACATTAGTTCAAAAAGTAGACATTATTTGCAAGAGGCCTTAGACTATAACTTTGGCTCTGCTACTAACTTGCTATCTGAACCAGCATCACTTGATTTCTGTTTTTAAAGACTCATTTAAAAAAAAGAGGAATAACAACACAGAGATGGTCCGATGATTTCCACATTCCATTGGGTCACCTCTCTTTGGAATGGGCACAGATATGGATCTCTTCCAATCAGTCGGCCAGACAGTTGTCTTCCAAATTTCTTGGCAGAGATGAGTGAGTGCCTCCTGTGCTGCCTCACTTTCCTGAAAGATTTCAATTTTTATTCCATCAATTCCTGGTGCCTTGTCCTTTGCCACTTCTTTCAATGCACTTTGGACTTCCTCTCTGAGTATCATTGGCAACAACAACAACAAGATATTTATCAGACACCTTCCCACACCCACCAGGAACAGTATTATCTTGGAAAACAGCTTCATGAATACCTTATATACGAGTGAGAGTCAGAAATGATAGGAACGCTAGCTCTAGGGTCTATTTTAATCAACTTTTAGAAAAGACAAATGCATCACTTTTCAACATACTCTCCTTGCTTTTCAATATACTTTGTCAACAAGCTTTCGTAGTCCCTTATTAAAAAATGTTTTAGGCTGAGCTGAGAGCCACGAATGCACCACTGTCTTCACTTCTTCATCAAAGGTCAATCTTCATCCTTGAAGGGCTGCTGTCACCAATCAGGTGAAAGTCCAATGGGGCAAGCTCAGTACTCTAAGGACTATACTTTAACACTTCCAAATGACGTTTCTGCCTGGTGTCAACAGTGTGGGCAGAAGTGTGTAGACGTGCATTATCATGCAAGGTTGCAATGTCCTAGGATAGCAGTCCTGTGTGTTTAATCCAGAGTTTAGGCTCCAGCTCTTCGTGAGCATCTCACTGGAAGGAGCACTGTTGATTGTGGAACCCTTTTCCTAATAATGTTCTAATACTGGCCCTCAAAAATCCCAGAAAACTGTGAGCTTCAATTTTTCAGCTGATGGTTGACTTTTGGACTTTGTGCTGGTCATCAATTGAGGATGTTTCCATTCCACAATCTGTCGTTTTACTCTCAGGCTCATAGGGATGAATCCATATTTCATCACCAGTAACAATTTTTTTAAGAAACTTTTACCTTCATTTACCAGTTCAAAATTTATTTACAAATGTCCAGGTTCACACTGCACAGCAGTGACCTTGAACAGAAAGTACTGATAAAGTTTTAATGTAACCAGAGTACCGATAATTTTTGACTGACCTCACACATTTTCTGAACAGCAAGACAAGATGCTTACTTTTTCAGCTGATCCACATCAGAGTTATTTTCTGGCAGGACTCTGATACCCCGACCATAACTGGTACCTCCATGAAGATGAAACTCAAGGCTTAACAATGTTGACTGACTCTCAGAATTCGACTGAAGTTTGGTATGGAGGCTATAAATCCTAAGAAAGCTTCCAATCTGAAAAACAGATGTTGATTTATAAAGTAGGTGAAATTTTTTTCCTGATATTCTAAATTTTTAATAATATGACAGGAGCACTGACCAATCATAAAGGACAACGGCTAGTTGGAACTTCTGGTATAGTGCTGTAGGATTAGCACTGGACTGAGAACCACAGAGCTGTAAGTTCAAACCTGCCAGTTGCTCCTTGGAAACCCTATAGAGGGTCGCCATGAGTCGGAACCGACTTGACGGTACTTAACAACAACAACAACAACAACAACCAGTGTTTACTGGTAGACTATCAGCCCATGAATACCATATCAAAAATAAAACCTATCCATATATCCTATCTATATATCCTTTCAATTGTAGGATTTATTTCAATTTCAGAGATAACAAGTGAAAAATACCATCACATTTTAGCATCAATAAAACATGTTGCTGTTAAATACCATTAATTCGGTTCTGAGTTAAAGTGACCCTGTATAAGGTTTCCAAGGAGAGACTATTAGGTTTGAACCACCGACCTTGAGGTTAGTAGTCCAGTGTTTATCCTACTGTGCCACATTAGGACTCCTTGATAACATAAGTTGTTAAGTTTCGTTAAGTCAGTTCTGACTCACAGCGACCCTAGGTATGGTTTCCAAAGAGTGGCTGGTGGGTTTGAACCGCCAGCCTTGAGGTTAATATTCCAGTGCTTATTTTACAACGCTACACCAAGACTCCCACAGCACGACAACAGGACTCTGATAAAATACATTGCCTAAAAAAAAATACATTATCGCCTAATAAATTTCAAGACCTCGATGAGTCCTGGTGTGCTGCTGCAAAATAAGTACTTGACTTTAATGTCGGTTTGAACTGCAAGGTTGGTGGTTCAAATCCACCAGGTGTTCCTCAAAAATCCTGCATAAAGTCGCTATGAGTTGCAACTGACATGACGGCACTTTACAACAATTTGATAAGCTTTCTTAAAAAAACTTACTTGAACTAATTTAAGATTTAATTAAATATTACTAATTTAAGATTTAATTAAAATTTCAAGCATTCCATAATGAAACCCCCATTACAGAATGCTTGAATTTTTTTTTAATGTGCCAGTTGTTATGTGCCGTGGATTCAGTTCTGACTTATAGTGACACTGTACAGGGTTTCTGAGACTGGAAATCTTTACGGCAGCAGAAAGCTTCATCTTTCTCCTGTGGAACAGATGGTAGTTTTGAACTGCTGACCATGAGATTAGCAGCCTGATTCATAACCACTATGCTACTTGTTACTGTTATGTGGAGTTGGTTCCGACTCATAGGGTTTCCAAGGTTGTAGTAAATCTCTTTGAGAGAAGAAAGCCTCATCTTTCTCCTGTGGAACAGCTGGTAGTTTTGAACTGCTGACCCTGAGGTTAGCAGCCTGATCCGTAACCACTACGCTACCAGAGCTCCTAAAGTGCCAGTAGTATTTTAAAATAACAAGTATCCCTCCACTCCACAAGATCTATAGGAGGCTGACTTCTGAAACCAAGTATTTCTGGCTGCAAGGCTGCAGCAGCAGGCTGTGAAACAAACTCTCTGAGTTCATGTATAGAAAACCAATTAAAGATTGAAACTTTGATCTGGCTTGTTGACTGTCCTCCACAACTAGCTTCTGCAGGCTCAAATCTGTACCGATTCTACTACGGTCACATAGTACAGAGATTCTACTGTAGACGGTTTGCCAAAAGTTCTAAAAATATCTTTATACAAAATGTGAGACGTTCTCCCAATGAAAAGACTTCAAATAAGAGAAATGTAGAATACTCTTCAAAGAAATTACCACTTACCCAACAGAAACGAGGCAACCTAAATCACATGCTGAATATGCCTTTTTTTTTTTGAGTAAAGAATTAGAAAAGGGTTACTAACTAGAAACTCGACTTACAGAAAAACTCCTGATCACTGGGTGATTGTGGGGCTAACATTTTCTTGTTTTCTCCAGACTAAGGAATAAGTCACAGTCGGGAGACTGTAAGTACAAGAAATGCTACACAAAAGTGTGGAGCGGGAGACTAGGTAGTGAGCCAACCGCCCATCTGCACTGTCACTTCTCCTCATCACTGGGTGACTGACTACAGGGCTCCATCTAACAGACGGGATATATGCAGGGTCTTCAGGAGTCAGAACCCACTGGACAGCACTTAACAACATGGGGAAAGAGTCCTGGGGTGGCGCTATCGGTTAAGCACTGGACTTTTAACTGCTCCCTGGAAACCCTATAAAGTTGCTATGATTTAGAGCTGACTTGAAGACACTTAACAACACCTGAGGAAAGAAAATGTCACACTCCCAGACTCTACTCCTTAATTCCCTGGGACTCTTTTCCACTCAATGATGGATCTGCGCGGGGATAACAGGGTATTTAGTATTCTCTGGTTTCTTTCATTCTTACTACACCATGAATGAGGAGCACAATAAAAGGAGTCAGAAAAGGAAACAAATAAGTAAAAGAGGACAAAACTCCTTTTCCTCATGGTCCACAAAGTGGGATAAGGAATAGTAAAAATTCCTGTTTCTAAGTTATTGTTATATCATTTTTATTGCACATTTACTAATGTGTGATTCTTTTTATAATATATACGGTACACTGTTATAGTACAATTATACAGTCTACAAAAAAGGAAATAGCCTAAATAAGTGAAAAAAGATGTAATATTAATAAGTAAAACATTCAATATTTAAATATCCATTGTTACAAAAATAATAATATTCTCAGAATTAATCCTTGCAATTAATTCATTTTCAATTAAAATCCTCAGTGTCTTTCATGGGATTGGGAAAGCTGATCCTAAAATGTACATAGAAGAGAACAGTCAAGTCAATGTTGAAGAATAAGAAGGGGAGCTTTCCTTTCAAATATCATTTCAAAATAATTCTGACAGACTGGTCCTAATGCAGAGACACATGCATCAACGTAGATACACCTTAATATTATATCAACAAAAAAGCAAATTGCTGAGTGATACACACACTATATTTATTTTTCAGATAAATGAACTCAAAATAAAAGCATACTAAACATGGGTGCACATACTTACATGTTGGGATGAGGGTTAGGAAGAATGAAATCAGGCAGAGGTACAAGAAAGCTTCAACATGTAAAGTTTTATTGCTTAAAAATTCAAATGATCTGAAATAAATATAGCAACAGTACTTGGAAATGTTCAGTTGAGATGGCCTGCACATCAGACTAGTTTTTCTATTGTTGTTACTGTTGCTGTTAAGTGCCATCGAGTGGCCCTGACCCACAGTGACCCAGTACAAGGTTTCCAAGGAGTAGCTGGTGAGCTTGAACCGTTTGACTTGGAGGTTCAAACTTACTATGCTTCCAGAGCATTAACCCATAGTGCCACTGTGTTTAAAAATGATAATAATAAAACAACATAATTTTTTCATTTAAAATATTGTACACTAAAAGACAACCAATTGCTATTTCCAGAAATTCCTTCTGGAGGCAGCATTGTATTTTTTTAAGTTTGACAAAATATACAATAAAATACACCAGATGTTCTATTGGAGTACACAGATCCTGGCTTAAGGTAAAGTCATAAGATCCCAAACATCCAGAGGAGGGAATCTTAACCAAAGGAATTAAAAAATATAGTTTAAAGATCCATTTCAAACAGAAAACTAAAAAAAAAACAAAAAAAACACACACACAAAACAAAAAAAGCAAACAAATTAGAAATAATCCAAATCCCCCTGTAAATGGTTTATTATTTTCTTCCCTGTTTATGTCTCCAAATAACAAATCAAACTACAGCTTTTAGATCAATGTCAGCCCAAACATTATATGGCAACATTTTATAATTAGTTTTTAATTGTGTCAAGATAATACTGGGAATTTTTAAATATGGCTTTAGTTTCTCGACAAAAGATTTGAAATGTGTGTATCTCTACACAAAATGTTTGGAGAATAACAAATTATTTTAAAAGCAAGACTTAAGAAATTGTTAAGGGCAAGTTAGGCTGCAAATATATCATCTATATAAGTTGACGTTATATTTTATAATTGCTGTAATAACAGTCCAATTTATTCTTAAAAGCACATTTCTCTCACCGTTCTTGTATACAAATCTTGTAAACTAGCTCCGTGCACTTTGGCATAAATATGCAATTATAAACAGTTGTCTTCAAGTGCTGACAAGCATTCATTTCCATCAATGTCATCTGACTGGGAATTTCTTAAATTCATATTAAATATTGTAGGGGCTGTGTCAAAGCAAATAAATGTAATGTCAATGTCTACTAAATAAGAGAGCTATACTGCTTACACAGAGAAAGTCCTTTTTATTTGTATACTGCACTGCAGGTATGGACTAGAATGCCATGGTGATGTCTTTAGAGAGGATGAAAGTGCCAACAAGTTTTATTATGCACGCTCATCTTCCCTTCTAGTGAACGAGATCAAGCAGACAACTTAACAAGAAGAACACATCTGCACAAAGCTGCGTGTGCTTACTGATTGGTTCATTCAGCAACAGGTATGACTGATTTGTCCTAACTATGTGGAGAGCACTGTGCCCCCGCTGTACAGGACATGGACAAGAAACGCAGGGAAGGAGGGGAACAGAAAGACTTATGGATGCAACCTGAGGAAAAGCAAGCCAAGCAATGAAATGTGAAAGCAGAGTATAGGACTGAAGTGAATCTAATATGAAAATTCATATGAAATCTCTACCTATAAAAAAACTTAGGAATTACCTTATTCTTTTTCTTTTTGAAATGAAAATTCCTCAAAATGTGTTTCCAGAGAACAAACAAGATGGTGGATTGGGTGGAAGTGCAGTAAAGGAGCTTTGCCAACAACAACACAGAATACCTGACCAAGCAGGCTCAGGGGATGGTCCCAGAACTCTGAACCACATATAAAGGAATACTTAGAAGGTTGGAAGGCTCACAGCTGG